GTGCTTTGATGATCTTGACGGGAGGGCGATAAGCTGTCACGCGATGAGCGCTTTTCCTGACGATGAGAGACAGGATAAAACGGGTGAGACAGGGTACCTGGTGAGAAGCATCTCGGGCCTGCAGCTTGCAATTTTGTCGCTCACCGATCAGCTGTCATCAAATGTCCAACTCGGTTGCCAGATTTGGTCAATGACAGACGGGGAGACAGGGTTTCGCTTAGTTTTTGGTGTGTGTGCATTTTTATTAAGCTTGGCTTTTCCCTGCGCTGCTGCCGATCATCGAGATAGTGAAAGCGGGCGGGCGCGCGGGCTCCGCCTTTTTTCCTGTAGGTACTGTCTGCCCAGTAGTTAGTTGTCCATGCGACGATGCAACACGCCCACATGTATGCAAGCATGCGCGTTATTACATGATGAAAGGGCAAGTCGTTATCTGCAAAAGAGGCGCTTGGTTTGAGAGAGAGAAAAGAGAGCGCCCTGCAGAATTGGCCGTTACATGCAGATGAGCGCATGATAAGGCTCGGCCGGCCCCCCCCCCCCTCTCCCTACTACGGGTAGAGCGGCAGCGTTGTAAACGCCTGCCCAAACGAGGGATCACCACCGTTTTCCTTTTTTTCTTCTTTTATTTTCTCTTACTGTCTGTACGTAAAAGAGGCATGTCGAGGGTTGGTTCAGAGGAAATCCGGCTTTTTGGAAGGAGGCTGTGTCGGATGAAACCCATCCACGGCACAAATTAGCGAGGCAATATTTTAGCACACCACCATCTTGTTCTCCCCCGCGATGCGGAAATCTGCATCGATGAGTATGACGATTCTGGCGAAGCAGTCCAGAAGTGAGCGGTGTTTGGCAGTGATTGTTTTCTGTGCAAGTTGGGGTGTGCTAATTGGGTCTTTATGAGCAAGGTAGCCTGCTCAAAAGATGTTCCTATCTCCCCTCTCAATTATTATGCAGATGATAATCTGGCACAAACAATAGCGCACGTCCAACTTGATGGAAAACCTGGGGCGGAAGCCGGCACCACACCTTGTCGTCTGTAAGCTTGCTTTGGGGCGGCGCGACAATTCGTAGCGCTGCTGGGGGGGGGGGGGGGCGGTCTTCCCTTGGCCGTGCCGATTTATCCAGCGGCTGACACGGCAAGAAGAAATGCGGATACAAACTTGGTGTGGTTTGCCGTGTGCGTGAGAAATAAATTTAAATTTAGAGTAGAGAATAGGCTACTTGGGGCGGTCGCGAGTCGCATAATTACGGATGGCGGCGGGTGGTTGTTGTTCTGGGTTCCTGGAGTCTTGGCACACGCAACTGTACGATCTGGTTCTGTTGCATTCAAGAGCCTCCTCTCATCATCTCCATCATTATTATTTACATCATAACTATAACAATAACAGCAATTATTCTTAATTTCTCTCCATCTTCTTTTTGCTTGCATCTTGACCCTGGACCAGAAGCAGTGCCCTCAAGGTGTTTCTGGCGCAACGGCGCTCAACGGTGGCGCTGGCCGAGGCCCCTTCGTTCAACTACAGCAGCTAACCTCAGTGTACCAACTCCCCGTATCAGGTGCAATGAGCCGCCTCCCCTTGCGCTGCCGTCTCCCGTTTCTACCACCATGACAAAGAAAAATATAAGCTTAGGTCCGCTCTGGCATGTACCCCTGCTGTTTCTTTTCCTGTCTCGTCTTTTCCCCCTTTTTTTCCCTCTCTCCAAGGTTAATCCCAGCTCGCCCCGTTCGTCTCTTCTGCATAGTCCCCTCTTTCCTCCACGATGGCTTCAACAGCCTCTACCAGTCCCAGTCTCTTCTTCTCCCACCTTGCTCGCCTCATCATCCTCGGACGTTCTCATACACCCGCGTCCTTTTTTTGCCTGCAGAGCCTCCTCCACCGTTCGTTAGTGGTTGGCTGCGCAACCTCGTACAGTACACCTTTTTCCTTGGCGCCACCACCAACGACCAGCCTAAATTGCATTCGGCCGACAAACTGGACACCGTCCTCCGCGACTCGCCCTCAAGGAATTTATCCCCGCCATACTCCAGCGCTGGTGCTGCCTTGTATCTACGTGTGCCAAGTCTATTATTCCCGGACAAGGAGGGGGTGTCCCTGTTTTCTTGCCCTTCGCTCTTCGCGCCCAGTCTTCCGCTCCTCCCGCCGCTGTTGTATTAATTAATTGTCCCCGGGGGGGCTGTGCAGCTGCCTCCGCTCTCCGGGGGACCAGTCAGGCTTTCTCCTTCATAATCGTACTATCCTGATGCACCGAATCCCTGTACGCGTCTTTCCCACCGCAAAGCCCCAAATAGACACGGAAACTTGTCTTTCCATGATGATTTGGTTTGACATTTCTACACGCCCTAAAAAGCTTATACCCATCTCTCCGTCGTTGCCGTCCGTTCATCGTTGCCGTCTGTTCGTTGCCGTGTTTCAAAACCTCGATGCGTCAACCATCGAAACGCACCGTGTCATCGGTTAGCGTCTGCCTTTTGGGCGGTGCTTAAAATTCTTCCATTACGCCTCGTTTCCCCGATCCTGCCTTGTTTGGTCCTCTGCCACCCCCTTGGTGCTTGTGCTGCTTCACGATTACGTTGTGATGCACCAGCTCGGCATCTCTCAGCCGTTGGCGGTTGGGTGGCATCAACGGACATGCCAAATCCACCCATTTTTTGGTTATTGCTTTGTGCATATGCTGGGGCTTGTCGCCAACAGAATGTTGGATATAGCAGCTTATATAGCCAATGTAGCCACATGCCCTCCTTTTTTCCTCTGTTTCTGATTGCAATTTGTACGGGACAGGTTTTATAGCCCGCCAACCACGGATAACGTCTTTTCTTTTTTGGCCTTACGGGTGGCTCGGTTGCGAGAAACGGGCCACGGAAGAGCCACGGAACTCGGCCACCCTTCTTCCTTGGGCCTGCGCGCGTCTCGCAGTGCATCCAGGCGCAGGTGGCCGCTACAAACCAAACAGAGGACATGATACGCCATCCGTATCACCGCTTGTAGATGCGTAAAGTGGACTGACGGTCACGGACCAGGGCCGGCAAGGGCGGATGCAAAGAAGCATATCAGGTAGCATACGATGGCACGATTTGCTAATAAGGGTCACTGATAAACTCTCGAGTCAATAGTTTGCCATGCCTGCCACCCAACCTTACAACCCTAGTCGCAATCTGTACTGGTGCCAGGGTAAGTGCTCGTTCAGGTGTCACCTTTTTTCGGACACACTCCCTGGCTCGCCCTTTTCTCGCGCTCACCAAGCCCCAGAGTCACACTCGCACCCCCTGGATAGAAGCCGCCCCCCTACCTAGTAAGGCTTGATGATGACGATCTCCTGCTCAGTGCGTCACGTTCAAGGTCTCTGAGTACAGGTTACAGTAGTGATATTCCTTGGCTCTCGGCATCTGCCATCCGAGTCGCTGCTCTTTGCGGACGCACCAACGCCCGGATCCAAGCAGCTTTTACCCACGCCGGCACCGCGAGCATCATGGCCCAGCTGTAACCAAGACCACACGCCAAATGTGTTTCTCGCTCCGTGGCCACGGTTTTGATTCAAGGGTGTGCGTTTCCCGGGAGGCTTCTGTTACAAGTCGGCATCGTCCCTCCGTCCGTCTATCGTGCCGTCGGCGGGCAGATGCTCCGTAGAGTCGGCCTCCAGAAAGCACCGGAACCCTCTACGGAATAGACTCTTGGCCCCCATGCCTGCTGATTCATGCCCGTGCCCGTGCTGATGATGCCCCGGTGAATCATGGGAAAGCCTGTAAGTGGTCTCGATTACGTGGCGGCTTTCGCAGAGTTGCCCCCTGCATCCTCGCGCGCTGGATGGCGGGCTGCTAGTATGTAGTTTACGCTTCTTTTGAGCCTTGTTTACTGACTGAGATCCATTGCACGTCGATGACCAGTAGGAAGTGCAAGGGACGGGAAACGGGAAAGGGAAGTAGAAGTACGGCGTTGCAGAAAATTCCGCTGCTGATGAAGAGGACAAAAGAAGAGTTGTCCTTGTTAATTGGCTTGACAGCGCCGTAGTGTACCGGGTCACAGGCAGCCACACAAGCAAATCCAGGCACTTCTCGTTACCTCTACTACAGTGGCTGTCAGTAGGTATTTTCTACAGGGCATCTACAGGGCATCTCACCCTGTGGGCACTAACTCATTACCAAACAACTTCAAATAAGCTTAGCGCGTAGGATACCTTTAGCTCACCCCCCCTTTTGCCCATCAACATCTTACCACCCCCCCTCCACTGCCTTTTATTGATTTTTTATTTTCATTCTTTTCATTTTATCTTATTTTATTTTTATCGCCGAGTGTTGCAGGGGCCAACTGAAATAAACTACTTGCGGATCGGTTTTCACGGCATCTCTAGTGCAACAGAGGCCCGCTACCAGTACCAGTCAGCTCAACGCCAATCCTATTCAGTCAGAGCCAATGGTACAAACTCCTTGCCTGCCTGCCTTCCTTGTGCCCTGTCTTGGAACCTTGCATTGGGCGTTTGCTGTAGTATATTATCTCCAGTCCTCTCACTCGCCGATCTGCCTTGCTGAATCCCCTCTCTTCCTACTTGAAATTCAAATACCTTGTTCCTCCCCCTCTATTAGTGCCACGGACAGCTTCAAAGCTTCGCAACATCGCTGCATCACCATCCGTCTCCACACTTTTCCAGTCCACAACCGTACAAGACGAACGACGTACATATACCGCACCTGCTACCTGGCAGATGGGAATCACCGCGCCGCTCCTTTCTCGACGTCCCTCCACACAGCCACGACTTCAACTATAGCGGCTGCGCAGCTTCGTCTTCGCACTTCTTGGTACCTCTACTACACGAACCTTGTTCAAACCTTGTGTTCCATTGTTCCGATCCAGACCAACACGTCATAAACCTCGGCGACAAAAAGACAAAACTCTATAACTTGGTCACGGCCTTCTAAAAAAAACTTCGAAAGAAAATATAGGGGCATAAATACACGCTGCCCCCGGCTCAGAAGAACTCGCAGGGCTCTCTCGGCCCTGATCGCCAAAATCATGGAAGCAGTTCCCGCAGAAAGCATGGAAACCTATTATGGTTATGTGCGGACCCCGGCCGACGCTATCAGGCTCTTTGAGGCTTGCCGTATTGGTGTGTTACCGCGCGTGCAGCGTCGTTTATCAGAGAAAGAGCGTCAGTCCATTCGCTCCGGCTCCGTCTTTGTTTGGGATGAGCGGGAAGCCGGCATGCGGAGATGGACCGACGGCAAGTCGTGGAGTGCTAGCCGAGTGTCCGGGAGCTTTCTCACGTACCGAGAGATGGAAGGGAAACGCGGCGGTGGCTTCGGCACCGGACGCCGCGGCGGTAAAGATGGGCGCCTAACTGATGAGGAGGCGGAAGACGGCGAACCTGAGGGCTACCGTTACAAGACCGATGGCCTCATGAAGCAGTCATTCAGCATCACCACGTCAGGCGGCGCTCATCTTCATCTCATCTCATACTTCTCTCGCCATGCGCCGGACTTGCTGCAGCCCGGTTCTGATCCGAAATTGATGGGGGTTTCTCCTTCACGTGAACTATATCCTGAGACCAGCATGGGTGAGGCCAATCAGACGCCTGCCTTGACGAGGACACCAATGCAGCAAGGTTATGTGGTAGCCCATCATCGGCCGTACGCGCCTCAGTATTCGCAGTCTCACCACTGGCCACTTTCCCCGACCACGACACCGCCATTCAATGCCTATTCTGCTCAGTCCTACCCCCCTGCCGGTTCGGCTGCTCACTATCAGCAGCCTCAACCCAGCTACGCTCCCCAACCACACGCACAACCACACGCACAACCACACTACTCCTACCCTCGATACTATGAAGCTCATTCGCTGCCTCCACTGCGGCGCAGCCCACCGGCGCCGAAGATGGCCTCACTGCCGTCGCACGCCTTCCCCGGTCGCTTGTCCCCGCCTCACGAGCCCCTGCCTTTTAGAGAGCCGAGGGAGGCCCCGCCCGCGCTTGCGGCCATCGACCACCACCGCGGCTCGCTGAGCAGAGGGCCGCTGCCCAGCCTCAGCGTCGTTGTTTCTGGTGGCGGCGCTCCCCAGGTTGGCGCTGGCACGCCGCCGACGCGCCACGCCAGCGTCAGCCCCCCGCGCACCGCTAACCCGGAGCTTCCGAGCATGGGGGGACAGCGGCCCAGCCTGTCGTCGATCCTGCACCACACTCCGGCCAGCAGCGAGTCCGGCGGCGCTAGCGGGCACAACAGTCCTAGGAGAGGCAGTGTCATGAGCGTCGATAAGCTCGTCAGTTCCGACAGCGAGAGTTACCGGACTGTTCGGATGCTTGACCGTAAGTTTTGCATCTGAGCTCTTTACAATTACTGTATATATATTTGCAATTTCTTTGTGTTGACAGCGTTGGCGTTAGTGGGAGACAATCGCGAGGCAGTTCGAGGTGGTATTTTGCCCCGACTGCCCCCCGTCATTTTCAGCAAGAGTTGATATCCGGCCACGCTTGGCTTGGCGGCGTGTTATTGGGAGGTTTCGTGGGTTGCTTTTCATTGCGTAATTTACTTGGCGAGCGGCGTATTAATGGGAGAATTCGTGGGCTGCTTTCATTGCGTATTCAACTTGGCGAGCTGTATCCTTGCTAGGATCGTTCACATTGCATGTTTAGGGAGTTATGGGAATTCTTTGAACATCATGAAATCAATCAAAATAAATCGTCATAACTATCATTCTGCGGCTTGCATCCTTGTGCACATCCATGAAAAGAGACGTTGTAGAGGAACGGACGCTGTAATTAATATCATTCGATATTTGTTTGACGACTTGTATTCTTGTTCGTAACCGTATGTGAACATTATAAATGAATGGAACTACACACGACTGTTCTCGCCACTACTTACTCATGTGCCATATTGGCTTACAGCACATCTATCTATCTTGGTTCGTCTAAATGAGGCTTTAAAGCAAAGTAGGGTTCCCTAACAACGAAAAGTACGCGTAATAGCGTCAGTTTTACGTCAAAAACATATCTACACTTTAAATCTAACAAAACTTTTCTTATAGTTTCCACGTGTTACGATCGACTTTGCTTTCAACCTAGATAGGGCTGCCGATCGGCCGAAGATTTACTCGGGCCTGGTCGCGCTGTTGAAATACAAGCAACATTTAAGAAACTTCTTGCCTGCGCCGTTGGTATAGTGATTGGGCTAGTTCCTGAGGTTGCACCGAGGTTGATTTTTGCATCTTGGGTTCTGGCATATTTCCGGTGACGAATGACGATGTGAGATCTGAGGGATGTATTGAGCGAGCATGGCAGAAAAGAAAATGAAAAACTCCCCTGCTCTCTTGTGTACGTGAGTACCATTTTCATGTGGCAAGGGTCTGATGCCTTGCTTCAAGTGTACATTTAACGTTGGGCACTAGGTTGGCACGAAAGAAAGCAACCGTCCGCCCGGGCCGTATTTGGCTGCGATATCGGGTAGGCTTGGCTTCGGTGCCTTAAAGGGTACCCATAGTTAGCACAATACTTTCGACAACTCTGGCCGCGTTGCTAATATGACACGGGGTTGGCAATTATATCACGCAGCGGTGGCGGAGGCGGCTGTGTGACGGTGGCAGGTTTTAACAGGCACGGACAAGCATTAAAGCATGAGCCCAAGATTGGTTGATTGATGTTATGTGAGTTTTCATAACAAATAGTGGCTGGAAATTCTAGAAGAATCTTAATTGGTGGCTCTGGTGGCTCTGTATCCTTTGGTGAGAAGTCTGTTGGGTTGTTGGTCGGTCAGATTTTTATCGTCGGTATGTACACGTGCGATAAACTTATGCCTTCTAGAATTTTTGCTCCCCCCCCAAAAAAGTGCAAACGAAGCACTTAGTTAAAGTATGTCTGGCTCATCACTTCTGTGGCTTTTGCATTTCTTGGAATTCGCTTTGCTCGAAAGGTTAGAGCAAGACATGCGAAGCATCTAGAATGAACCACGAAGAACCAACAAGGACTAACACCCAAAAGCTATATTGGCAAGGATGGAAGCAAAGAAGCCTATCAGACCTGTTGTGTAACTGTATCCCTCATTGAAGTAGTGACCAAGGCACTAGACTCGGGCGACTGCAATTCAAAATCTGTGCATCTTGATGACAACTTATACAGCTCAACTGTGTTGCAGTTTGGCTTTTGGTCACCAGGAAGCAAGACCCACTTGGTCCCGGTCCGTTGATTGGCCAGCTTACCTAGTGCATGACCCATCTTGTACAGCAGTGAATCTGCTCCCTCCATTATCACACCACGACCTTGCAGAATCAACAAAAACAAACTCTATAAAACCGACCATAGTCATCTCGACCCTGAGCCGACCGTCGCCGCAGGGATTTACACATAGTTGAATTTCTCTCCGTGCTCCGCCCCGTATCTTTGAGAACCCCCTTTCTACGCTCAAAGGCCATGGCGCGAGACTACTAGTCAAGCTCAATTTGCAAATCACAACTACTTCGCATCTGGTCTCAGCGAACGCCCGCGGGTATCTCCACCCGGTTCCCCATAGCAGCCATGTTCACGTTTTGCTCTCTCCAGGGCGCGCAGTCCGAGTCGCTGGCCTCGCAGTCCCTGCTGGAGCTCGACGGCGGCGTCAAGGTGCTCGTGGACCTCGGGTGGGATGAATCCTTCGACGTGGCCAAGCTCGAGGAGCTCGAAAAGTAAGCACGCGCAAAAACGCCCAATTGGAATTGCCCTTTTCTTCTTTAGCTAAAACAGCCCAACAGACAGATCCCGACACTCTCCCTCATTCTTCTGACGCACGCGACCGCCTCGCACCTCGCCGCCTACGCGCACTGCTGCAAACACATGCCCCTCTTCACGCGCATCCCCGTCTACGCGACCCGACCCGTCATCGACCTCGGCCGAACCCTCACACAGGACCTCTACTCGTCGACTCCCGCCGCGGCCACCACCATCCCGCCGGCCGCGCTGTCCGAATCCGGCGTCGGCGCCCCGACCGCGGCTCGGCGTCGGCGGGACGACTTGCTCCTGCAGGCGCCTACCCCCGACGAGATCGCGCGCTACTTCTCCCTCATCCAGCCGCTCAAGTACTCGCAGCCGCACCAGCCGCTGCCGTCGCCCTTCTCGCCGCCGCTCAACGGCCTCACCATCACGGCGTACAACGCGGGCCACACGCTTGGCGGTACCATCTGGCACATTCAGCACGGCCTCGAGTCGGTCGTGTATGCGGTCGACTGGAACCAGGCGCGCGAGAACGTCTTCGCGGGCGCCGCCTGGCTCGGCGGCGCGGGCGGCGGCGGCGCGCAGGTCATCGAGCAGCTGCGCAAACCCACAGCGCTAGTCTGCAGCAGCCGCGGCGCGGCGCGCAACGCCCAGGCCGGCGGCCGTACAAGGCGCGATGAACAGCTGCTCGGCGCCGTCCGGGCGGCGGTCGCGAGGGGCGGCACCGTCCTGATACCGGTCGACTCGAGCGCACGCGTGCTCGAGCTGGCGTACCTGCTGGAGCACGCCTGGCGGGCGGACGCGGTGGCGGACGGCGGTGGCGCGCTCAAGGCGGCGAAGCTCTACCTCGCCGGCCGCAACATGTCGAGCACCATGCGCTACGCCCGGAGCATGCTCGAGTGGATGGACGACAGCATCGTGCAGGAGTTTGAGGCGTTTGCGGAGGGACAGAAGAAGACGAATGGAGCGAGCGATAAAAAGGTTGGCGGCCCGTTCGACTTTCGATTCATGCGCCTGCTGGATCGCAAAGCGCAGATTGCGAAGCTTCTCACTACGATTGTGAATAACGGCGAATCGCAAGGGCGCGTCATCTTGGCTAGCGATACTAGCATGGATTGGGGATTCTCGAAAGATTTGCTCAGGGGCCTGGCCGCTGACCCTAACAATGTTGTGATCCTCACAGACAAGCCCGGCATGGCGCAAGAAAACGGCCCTTCGATTGCGAGAACGCTATGGAGCCTGTGGAAAGAGCGCAAGGACGGTGTTACGACGGAACGAACGACGAGTGGCGATACGATTGAATATGTAAATGCGGGCAGCTACGATTTAGAGTTTCGGGATGCTAAGCGTGAGCCGTTGGAGGGCGACGAATTGACGCTATATCAGCAGTGGCTCGCCACGCAACGGCAGTTACAGGCTACGCAACAAACGGTCGGCACCGATGGGATGGAGGCATCCGCCGACGTCGTCGACGACGTGTCCTCAGACTCCTCGTCCGACTCCGAAAACGAAGACGGCCAGCAACAAGGCAAGGCGCTCACCGTGTCTGCCACCCTTGGCCAAGTGGGCCGCAAGAACGTGGTTCTCAAGGACGAGGATCTCGGCATCAGCATCCTGATCAAGAAGAAGGGTATCTACGACTTTGACTCGCGCGGGAAGCGTGGCCGCGAGCGGTCGTTCCCCGTCGCGGTGCGCCGAAAGCGCAACGACGACTTTGGCGAGCTGATCCGCCCCGAGGACTACCTCCGCGCGGAGGAGAAGGAAGAGGACACGGTCGACGGCCCCAACACCGCCGCGGACGACGAAAACCTCGGGAAGAAGCGCAAGTGGGACGACGTCCACGGCACCGGCGCCAACAAGAAGCAACAGATCAGCCGAGGGGCCGCCGCCCCCGGGGGCGCGTTTGCGGGCGATGGCGGCGAGGACGGAAACGCGACGGGCCGGCAGGACGGCTTCGAACCCGACGAGCTGGACGACGCCGTGGACGAGGAGGAGCACCAGCAGCTGGACGGCCCCTGCAAGCTGGCGCACACGACGGAGACGCTCACGGTGCGCCTGCGCATCGCCTACGTCGACCTGAGCGGTCTCCACGACAAGCGCAGTCTCAACATGCTGATCCCGCTCATCCAGCCGCGCAAGCTGATCCTTGTCGGGGGCACGCGCGAGGAGACGCTGGCCCTGGCGCAGGACTGTCGCGCCATTCTCGGCGGTGACGCCGCTGCGAATGGCAGTGGCGAGAAGGGCAGCGGCGCCGACGTGTACACGCCCGAGGTGGGCGCCATTGTGGATGCTAGCGTCGACACGAGCGCCTGGGTGGTCAAGCTAGCCGACTCGCTCGTCAAGAAGCTCAAGTGGCAAAACGTGCGCGGTCTAAGCATCGTGACCGTTTCCGGGCAGCTATTTGCCGCGGCAGCTGCCGCCGCCGCCACAGCCGACGAGGACGAGGATGACGACGCGGCCAACAAGCGGCAAAAGACGAGCGACTCCTCCCTCGCGCTGACCACGACGACGCACGCGCTCACGACGACGGCGCGGACCTGCGGCGCGCGATGCAAGGCGCCGGGCACGCGGCCGAGTTTCGCGGCGAGGGCATGCTGGTCGTCGATGGGGCGGTGGTGGTGCGCAAGACGGCCGAGGGGCGCGTCGAAGTCGAGAGCGTCGGGCTGCCAGCGGCGGGGCGGCGCAGCGCGCTGCACGAGGTGAAGCGCGCCATTTATGATAACCTCGCCGTGGTGGCGGGGGCGTAAGTCAAGGAAGGAGAGGGAAGGGGACCGGGGTGTGTACGTTTGTGTGTGTATATTTAGAGGGCGGGCGGTTGGGGAGTTGAGAGTCTTCAAAACGGGATCTGAGGAGGTTGTTGTAACTTTTTATCGCATTATCATATTGCAATATAAAAAAGCCAGTTATTATTGCCGTTTAAACTAGCCATGTGTACTCGCTCGCTATTGAATGATAGAATTATAGTTACGCTATGCACGCATGGTTTCGCCGGACCGGGCCACCAGCTCTATTACAAGTACAACCGGTTTGAGAAAGAAGAGTTTGACATGCCAATGTCTAGTGATGTAGAATAGCCAAAGAACTTTGCCTGAGTTGTGGACAGAAAAATGTCAAAACAGTCCGGCAGGACCTTGGCCATGTAACAAAGAAAAGAAGAAGCAAAACAAAACGCCCAGCAATGCAACGCTTCACAAAAACGCCATCGTACAGTACATCCCCTCTACACCACTCGCACGGAAATCAAGACGACGTCTTCATCTGCACCATCTCGTACGCGCCGTGCCCGTCCTTCCCGCGGCCCTTGCCGCGCCCTCCACCACCATGCACGAAGCCCGTCTCGTCATCGCCGTCTGGGCCGAGGCCCGCTTCGAGGTCAGCGTGGTGACCCGCGCCACCACTGCTGCTACCCGGTGTGGGCGGCGGGGGCGAGCTGGCCCTCGCGGCCGAGGACGCGCCGCCGTCACCGGCGCCGAGGATGCGGCCGCCGAAGAAGACGGGCTGCAGCTCGCGGTAGCGGCAGCCCCAAGTCGCGAGTCCGACGGCGGCGGCCGACGACGCGGCCATGGTGAGCCACCACATGGCGTGGCGCGGCAGCGAGCGCGTGTAGAGAGTGACGACGAGTAGGTGCAGACCGTGCACGGTGAGGGCGAAATCGGGGACAAGCTTGCTGCGGGCGATGAGGATGACGATTGCAACGGCCCTGTTGTTTTCCTAATTAGTAAGAAGAAAGGGGTGCTGGGAAGGGAGGGGGG